TATCTTTGTGCAGATTTTTACCGATTATTGAATTTACTTTTACTTATTGTTATATACAGTATATATCGCTGTTGTGAACGCTTTTACTAATTTCCTTTACTAATCATATCATCAGTTGTTATCATATGAGCGATATTTTTGATAAAATGCTTTTAAAAATTGATAAATGATTAAATTTATCACATTCACACTTTAATTACATATTGTTGTGTAATTAAACCTTTTAATTTAAACATATTTCTGTTTATTGTACTAATCAAGTTAATGCACATTTTGATTTGAAATACACTAATATTTTAAAAATACATTTATAGGCATAAGAATATGACAATCTTAACAACTCATTCATCTGATGGCTCGGTATACGAAATATTTCTTATATTATAAATGTTTTATTAATATTATTGATATATTTGTTTCTTTTATTATAACTAAAAATAAATTAAAATATGTAATGAAATGTACTTTATATTAATTACAATTTTAAATAATTTATTATATTTTTAATAATTTCATTTTTTAATGTTATTTTAGATTTGTATAATTTATTGTAAATCTTATGATTTCTATATTTTAAATATATTTATTTATATGTTATAACTTATATTCTTATATATTAGTTGAATAGTGTTTCATAGATTAACGGTTTAGAAGAGATTATAATACATAATAATCATTACGACTGAATTGAGCCTAATTTAAACTTTCCTAAACTCTTACCATATGTACAAATTTCACACCATTTTTACAACACATGGCATTAGTTGTCCACAAATGCATCCAATTTAACAATAATGTCAGAGGTTTAGAAAATTTTATACTAAACTTGTGAAGTACGTGTCACAAAATTTTCCATGAACTTAAGGTCTCTCTAAAAAGCATTTATTTTTAGTATGAAATAAAACTCTTTTTGCTATACAGTCAAAGGTTGGAAATTTTGTGTCGAATTGTGAATTACGTATCACAAAATTTTCCATAAACTTAAGGTGTCTCTAAAAAGCATTTATTTTTAGTGTGAAATATAACTCTTTTTGCTATACAGTCAGAGGTTGGAAATTTTGTGTCGAATTGTGAATTACGTATCACAAAATTTTCCATGAACTTAAGGTGTTTCTAAAAAGCATTTATTTTTAGTATGAAATAAAACTCTTTTTGCTTTACAGTCAGAGGTTAGGAAATTTTGTACCGAATTGTGAATTACGTATCACAAAATTTTCTATAAACTTGAGTTTTTCCAAAAAAGGATTCATTTTGAATGTAATCAGAGTTCTGGAAAGTTTGAACCAAAATAAATGCAAATACATTTGTAATGGACTGAATGTCAGCACTCGATGGCAACACATGTCTCACAAAAGCATAAAGTATTTTATTTTTAATACAAATAAGACATAATTAGCCAATAGATGGCAATTCAAGTGCTGTTAAACCTATTATTCAATTCAAATAATATTCAATATTCAGTGAATTTATTGAAAATTCTTGTTTTGATCATAAAATATGTTTTACAAATAAATATACATTTTTATCAATGAATTGAATTAAAATATTTTCAATGAAATTAATTTTATTTAAATTTTATCCGATAAACATTTACATCAAAAGGAATTTTAAAAATATATTTATTCTAATCAATGAAATTCAAAGTCAGATCAGAATTAGATATTCATAAAAGAGAGAGAGAGAGAGAGCTAAAAGATATGCCGAAGCCTACATTTATTTGAATAATAAATTACTTCTCTATCAATAAGTCAGTCATAGAGGAAGAGAGAGAGAGGGAGAGAAACTTTTTTATGGTATACTTATATACCAATTGGTGAAGTGATGGCACATAAAAACAGACTATTAATTATGCGATCCGTCCATCACTTGTGTGGTTAAGCGAATGCACGCATCGCTCACTCAATGACAACGGACTATATCTTTGTGCAGATTTTTACCGATTATTGAATTTACTTTTACTTATTGTTATATACAGTATATATCGCTGTTGTGAACGCTTTTACTAATTTCCTTTACTAATCATATCATCAGTTGTTATCATATCAGAGATATTTTTGACAAAATGCTATTAAAAACTGATAAATGATTAAATTTATCACATTCACACTTTTATATTGTTTTGTAATTAAACCTTTTAATTTAAACATATCTCTGTTTATTGTACTAATATTTCATCAAGTTAATGTACATTTTGATTTGAAATACACTAATATTTTAAAAATACATTTATAGGCATAAGAATATGACAATCTTAACAACCCATTCATCTGATGGCTCGGTATACGACAAATATTTCTAACTTATATTATAAATGTTTTGTTAATATTATTGATATATTTGTTTCTTTTATTATAACTAAAAATAAATTAAAATATGTAATGAAATTTACTTTATATTAATTACAATTTTAAATAATTTATTATATTTTGAATAATTTCATTTTTTAATGTTATTTTAGATTTGTATAATTTATTGTAAATCTTATGATTTCTATATTTTAAATATATTTATTTATATGTTATAACTTATATTCTTATATATTAGTTGAATAGTGTTATTTAGATAACATGTATTTTGTCAGACATTCAATCAAAACGATTTATAATATATACTTTTAAAATTCTTCTAAACTCTCTCTCTCTCTCTCTCTCTCCTTTTGTTTGATGGAGTGATGGACCGCCATATCTGAGTAATAATTATGAGAATCTCATCATTACTTTCCCCACACCAGCCATACGAGTCTCTCTCTCTCTCTCTCTCTCTCTCTCTCTCTCTCTTTCATGAATAACTAATTCTGATCCGACTTTGAATTTCATTGATTAGAATAAATATATTTTTAAAATTCCTTTTGATGTAAATGTTTATCGAATAAAATTTAAATAAAATTAATTTCATTGAAAATATTTTCATTCACTTCATTGATAAAAATGTATATTTATTTGTAAAACATATTTTATGATCAAAACAAGAATTTTCAATAAATTCACTGAATATTGAATATTATTTGAATTGAATGATAGGTTTAACAGCACTTTCATTGCCATCTTTTGGCTAATTATGTCTTATTTTTATTTAAATATTAATATTAATATAAATATTAATAAAATACTTTATGCTTTTGTGAGACATGTGTTGCCATCGAGTGCTGACATTCAGTCCATTATTTGCATTTATTTCGGTTCAAAATTTCCAGAACTCTGACTATTCATTCGAAATTAATCCTTTTTTGGAGAAACTCAAGTTCATAGAAAATTTTGCGATACGTAATTCACAATTCGGTACAAAATTTTCTAACCTCTGACTGTATAGCAAAAAGAGTTTTATTTCATACTAAAAATAAATGCTTTTTAGAGACACCTTAAGTTCATGGAAAATTTTGTGACACGTACTTCACAAGTTTAAAATTTTCTAAACCTCTGACATTATTGTTAAATTGGATGCATTTGTGGACAACTACTGCCATGTGTTGTAAAAATGGTGTGAAATTTGTACATATGGTAAGAGTTTAGGAAAGTTTAAATTAGGCTCAATTCAGTCGTAATGATTATTATGTATTATAATCTCTTCTAAACCGTTAATCTATGAAATGTATATTAATATGAAGTAATCCTTTCCTATAATCCCTTTAATAATAAGAATGCAATACTTTATGCAATTATGGGTTACGTTATATGCGAACAATCAATGTCTTCGAGAGTCCGATATGTCTTACAAACGAGAATTAAATTAAATTAATTATTAAATAAAAATTAAATATAAATTAAATACAAATTTTAAAAATATTTATTTAAAAAGTTTCAAATGATTGAGAAGTGGTTTCAAGACATCGCGCGGTCGCGGAGTTGTGGCCACACATGTGATGATGCCTTCGGGCTGTTCTGTCCAGAGATGGTATTCAACGTTATTTTGCGATAACTTATGGCAAACGTCTCGCAACACCTCTTCGTTGTCCGCTTTGAGGACCACTTTAGTCATTGACTCCAAGTGTTGGATGTATTCAATGGTGTGTTTGTCTCCCGAAGACATGTGTTTGACAATAGCGGCCACCGATGCGTGACATGCATTGCCTGAACACCACATCAACCATACGTTTAGTGTCTAATCAATGGTATAATGAATTAGTGTTGTATACCTATGAGAGCGCCGACGGACCACTTGAGGTCACCCCTCACCACAATGTATTGGACCAAATGGGGTGACAATTGCGAAGACATTGAAAGTTATTGTCTTTCAATTCAAAACCAAAACAAATGTTTCGTTCGTTTCTATAGTAATGCAAAACAACACGTGTTTTGAGTCACGGATTGAACGCTAAATGTAAACAAATATATCGTTGTGTTTATCACTGAATTTGATCCCAAATAAACTCTTGTAAACCATTTGTTTGATCGCATTATGAGAGCTGTTATACAAAGAGTACAAAACGCTTCGGTCGTCGGTATTGTCCTATCATTTGATTTGATTGTTTGATTCAATCATTTGTTTGTTTTGCATGTCTTGTAGTGAACGACGAGATTGTGTCCCAAATCGGAAGAGGTTTATGTCTTCTCATCGGTATATCACGTGATGACAGACCCGAAGACATGGACTACATGTCGGTGACTGCATATCACCCGCTCTTTGACTAACCATTCATTGAATATTTGTGTCCGAAATAAAGGGTTAGAAAGATATTGAGTTTACGTGTGTTTGACAGCGAAGACGGGAAGCGATGGTCAGACAGTGTGGTCGACAAGAAGTATGAGATCCTGAGTGTCAGTCAATTCACTCTATACTCTCATCTCAAGGGAAATAAACCCGACTTTCATCACGCGATGGACTCTAAGAAATCGCAACTCTTTTACGACCAATTCGTGACTAAATTGAGACAATCCTATGAATCGGATCTAATAAAAGGTGATTAGTCTTCGTGTAGATTAATGGTGTGTTTATTCAATAATTAGTAAATTATATTTGTTTTGTATGAATGTGTGGACAGACGGTGTATTCGGGGCTCTAATGGCAGTGAATATCTGTAATGACGGACCCGTTACCATCACTTTGGAATCGCCATCACTTAAACAATCATCCGCTCGACACCAGACCACGGATCAGATACCAGATGACAGACCAAACCTGTTGTAAACCAATTGTAAAATATATGTTAAATTAAATTAAATTGTAATGAATAAAAGTTTTAATTGAAAACCCAATGCTTTTTACGTTATTTGTGAATAACTCGTGAACTGTAAGGAAATAATGTAAACAAATGATGAAAATGTGTTTTGAATTGCATTTTGTGAACAAAACTCTCCAATCATTTCATCACTCGTTTGACTGATTGTTTGAAAACACTGTTTGATTGCAAACTATGTTTAAAAACATTTGCAAAACTTTGTTTCAGACAAAGAGAGGTCTGTTTCGGTCAACGACTCGATGCAAAGCCGTATACAAAGTGAGGGACGAGTGGACGACGACTGCGGGCGCCGGCGCTCACGTCAATGCCGTCAACGCCTTCGCCGGTCGGAGCCATACGTGCGGCCAATTGAGTGCCGCAAACGTCGGCCAAACGGTCCGACTCTGCGGTTGGATTCAATACCAAAGAGTCGGCAAATTTGTCATTCTTCGCGACTCTTATGGTGTGACACAAGTGTTCCTCAATGACCGACAGATGCAACGATTGGTCGCCAAACTGATGCCCGAATCGGTAGTCGAGGTTTCCGGTCAAGTGGTCAGACGCCCCGACAAAGACATCAACCCAGACCTCCCGACCGGAACCGTTGAAGTGATGGCCGATTCGGTGGTTGTGTTGAATGAGTGCCGAAAAGACGTGCCGTTTATTATTCTCCCAATGCTTTTTACGTTATTTGTGAATAACTCGTGAACTGTAAGGAAATAATGTAAACAAATGATGAAAATGTGTTTTGAATTGCATTTTGTGAACAAAACTCTCCAATCATTTCATCACTCGTTTTACTGATTGTTTGAAAACACCGTTTGATTGCAAACTATGTTTCAAAACATTTGCAAAACTTTGTTTCAGACAAAGAGAGGAGTGTTTCGGTCGACGACTCGATGCAAAGCCGTATACAAAGTGAGGGACGAGTGGAGGACTGCGGGCGCCGGCGCTCACGTCAATGCTGTCAATGCATTCGCCGGTCGGAGCCATACGTGCGGCCAATTGGGTGTCGCAAACGTCGGCCAAACGGTCCGACTCTGCGGTTGGATTCAATACCAAAGAGTCGGCAAATTTGTTATTCTTCGCGACTCTTATGGTGTGACACAAGTCTTCCTCAATGACCGACAGATGCAGCGATTGGTCGCCAAACTGATGCCCGAATCGGTAGTTGAAGTGTCCGGTCAAGTGGTCAGACGCCCCGACAAAGACATCAACCCAGACCTCCCGACCGGAACCGTTGAAGTGATGGCCGATTCGGTGGTTGTGTTGAATGAGTGCCGAAAAGACGTGCCGTTTATTATTC